TGTGTGTGTGTGTGTGTGTGTGTGTGTGTGTGTGTGTGTGTGTGTGTGCGTGCGTGCGTGCGTGCGTGTGTGTGTGTGTGCGTGCGTGCGTGCGTGGGAGAGAGGGAGAGAGATAGAGAGAGAGATAAAGAAAGAGAGCGAAAAATGCGCACGCTCACCCACACACCACCCGCTTTCCTTCCCTGCACCTGCGCTTGATCAGCAGGCTACTGGCTGCCATTCAGTCCCTCTGCGCTCCAAACCAACATTGACGCACACACACCAACACACGCACACACAGCTCTCTGCTCTGACAGTTTTGCTATTCACTATTTGCTATTGCTAGTCTTCTCTGAGATAGATAAAGCCAGATATATCAACAGTCTTTAAAAAATAAAACTTCCTGGTTGTAGAATGATACAAACTCCGTTGGGCCCATAATAACAATTATTAACAAGTGTTCAATTGTGTTGACTCAGCAGCAGTATGGGAAGCCACTTTGCAATACTTTTCAGCCAAACAACTCTGACCTTTATTCATACAACGGAAAAGTGTGAACATGAAAAATATTGACTGCATGAAATACATGTCTGCAAGTTGTAAAACATACAACTATGAAATATATTTTAAAAATATGAATTTGTTTTTAATTGGAAGAGCTGACAATCAATCAGGTAGTGGAAACATGTTGCAGTACTACAAACATATTTGGGGAAGAGGTCAGTAATGGCAATGAATAGCAAAACATATTTGAAAATATACTTTTTATTCTGTATAGTTAAACTATTTTATGATTTATGTCTGATTAGCTTGCCCATTTATTTGCCATTAGGCTAATACTGTCAAGTTCAATCGGGCTATAGCCTACATTAATTTTCCTGATGACAATTGGATTACTTGTCCACCACAGAAGAAACAATAAATTAAAGTAAACTAACCAACGGAAACACACATCAGGACCGAGCGCTTTGATTGGGTGACGTCATGCCCCCTCCTCCTTATTATCCGCAACGTGGTGAAAAAGGAAAGTGGCTCTCGTGGAATTACAGGCCACGAAACTCGTTTTGTTTGTGTGTGTGTGTGTGTGTGTGTGTGTGTGTGTGTGTGTGTGTGTGTGTGTGTGTGTGTGTGTGTGTGTGTGTGTGTGTGTGTGTGTGTGTGTGTGTGTGTGTGTGTGTGTGTGTGTGTGTGTGTGTGTGTGTGCGGGTGAGGGGGGTCATTTGACCTAATTTTAAAACTCGTATCATCTCAAAAACAAACATACACATGAATGGGAAAACGGCCAGCATATAAACTATGATCTCACATTGTGGAAAAAATGATATTCATTCAAAAAATATAAGTAGCCTATCTAATGTTTTATTTTGTCTGAGGCCTTGTGGTTAATGACACACTGTGAATGAGCGAGATTCTTAAGGACATTTAGATTATTCTTTATTATAGAATAATGACTTTTTTTCGTGCCTCCAATAACAAGTAAAGTGTTACATCTACAAAATGTAACACTTCACATGTTGTGATAAAGGCCACTGGAAAGAGCCCGAGGTATCTCAGCGCACACACACGCGCCAGGTTATTATAGATAACATCTAGGCGTTTTTTTTAAAGAGGGGGCAACAACAAAAAAAGCAGAGGCTCGCGCTTACCACCTGTTGCAGTCCAAATATCCCCGAGCTGCGACAGCCAGACTCTGCACGCGAGCAACAGAAGGGGAGACGGATGGATGGATGAACGGACGGATGGGTATATAAAGAAGGATGGGTGGATGAATGGTGGGTGGGTGGATGAAAGGATGTAGGGGAACACCTTGACCGGGCCTCACAGTTTAACCACACAAACACACCTGCTGATGTAAAATGAAAAGTTTTCTTTTAGTAGCATGGCGTAAACATAGCCTAACTTTAATTTTAACTAAGTATTACAAGGTTGGCTTCAGCCCCCGCATTATCACCGTATGAGGTGTAACATGTGAGACACTTGATTCCCTGTCTCACTGTCAGCTGCTGTGCAGAGCCTTTATTTAATGTTTGAACAGGAGCGCCATTGAGCTCCAAGCTCCTCTGAGATTAAATCACTTTTTGGAAAGCACAGGGCTAAATGCGGGCTAATATTTTTCTTCTGCGATAAAGCGATATCAGTGTTTTCAGAGTGAACATTTATCGTGTCCTTTGTGGCCTCACTCACACGGGAAGGGACTATTTTATAATTAATATATTAAGGTGTTCACAATAAAATACAAACAGAGTGGACATTTAAAAGCATGGATGTTTTGCCAAAAATACTCCCAAATCCTGAGAGAAGGCATCAGTATCAAAAACAACATAATAACATGTGTAGCCTATAACACGTTGGTTTTCTTTTTTAAAAGAAGCCCAGGACTTAAACCCTGATTTTGAACATACAATCAAAGGCGTTACAAATAATCTTCAGCTTTTTATGAGACTCCATAGGAAATACAAGTTAACCATCAAATACATAATGTATTCTTTGCATTCAGAAAGCGTTTCCACCACATCAAAGGTGCTGCGCTCAGCCGGGAAAAAATAATCATTTTGCGGGGCCTCCGGTCTGCAGGGGCCCGGTGTTCGTGGAAAAAAAAATTAGACTTTAATGCGTCCGACCTTTTAAAAACAACTGGTTTATCACCGGTGTGCTCGGCTATTACAACCAATTCAGCTGCTCGGATCAATAATTAATGGGGCAACCAACGATTCCCTGACCTCTTGAAGGTCCGGCTGAGAGAGACAGAGAGGGGGGGGAGAGGGAGAGGATAAATACCGAGGGGCCTCTTCAAATATTCATCTGCCGGTTAATGTGAGCTCCACTCCCCCGGGACCCAGCCTGCAAGACACAACGGCCCTAATCTACCTCGCTGTGTACACACACTCTCTCTCTCACACACACACCCGATTTAAAACCGTTAGTTAAATTCAGGCGAGCAGTTAGCTCATCATAAGGATTATTATTATTATGGGGGAGGAGGGGTGGCTGGTAGATGCATGGGAACGTTTTGGAACCGGTTCCGTGTTTTTTCTAAGGCAGGAGGGGTTGTTGGTAATGATGAGTCCCGGTGAGCTTGAACCGTGAGAACCGGGGTTAACGGGAAACAGCAAGGCCCGTTTGATTAAACATTAAATTAAAATGGGCTCACTCGAGACTTTATATGGAGCCATTACATGGCGGGTGAAAAAGCATCTCGCTGGTCCCGCTCGCTTGGCTCCTTTCAACAGGGCTCACCTTTCAATTTAGACCTAATTGAACATTTAGAGTGATAAGCTGCAGCTCCATTATTTTGAGTATTACAAAAATAGTCCAAATCACACCGACCTTATTAGTTAAACCAAACATCGAGAGGAACTGTAACAACATGAAACAGGCCTGAGCTCAAAGGATTAGGTTGTTGTAAATACTCATGGACTGCTGTCACAGTTAGGCCTAAGTGTCTTTAAAATTAAAATCCACCAATGACAGAAATGCTGAAGACAGTTTACACCAATCTATAATAACTGTAAATTAATTATGGAAATAAATGTTTTTTATGCCCGTTTTTTAAATAACCTTATTAGTTCTCACTCAGTCTCCTGTCCCAAAAGCAGGCCAAGATATTGACACACAATAATAAATAATGCAGAAATAAATTCATTAAAAAGAAAATATCAAGAAATGTAGCCTGGGCCTCAACAGCCATTATTATTGGTGATTAGATGTTTTTGTTTAAAAAAGGATAGAGGACATTATTTCGGAATGTTGTTTGAATTTTGGCCGACTTTTTTTATGAAACAGGCAACAAACCTTGGCTTGATGGGACCCTCCGCAGGCGCTAGAAAATAGAAACCATGACGCCCAGTTATTTGAACAGTGGAGTTAAAAAGAAGCAATGATAACCCCCCCAAATCTTTTTTTTTCTAGCCTAGATATTGTACTTTATATTCATGAAGATGTAAAGAGTCAGTGTTACAGTTACAGGAATTAATTAACATCAGCAGAAAGACAGAAAAGCTCCACAGACAGAGGACAATTGAAACAAAATACGAAAGAGAAATAAAATCAAAACTCAAACAATTTCAAGTATCCAAATTTCCAAAATTTATTCATTTCAAACTGCATATTGAAAAAAAAATATACTCAGCTGAAATTGTAACTGTTATAAGCATGGTATTAGTTCCAGTATATACATGGAGTGGTTGGCTTCTGCGTACAGGCCACCATTTTTAAAATACAACTACGGGAATGGATTTTTGAAATAAAAACTTAAAATATCACAGTAAATATACAGAAATTGTACAACTCAATTAGAAAATAAAGAGCACAAGCATCATACCTCTAACAGATGAAAAGTGGGAGACGGATATATAAATTAACAACCTATATTTTAAGTTGTATGAGAGAAAAAAAAGTGTCTTATCATTTTTTAAGAAATTAAAATGTTAAGTAGTATTGACCTTAAATGAAAAAACAGTACCTGCTTCGTGTTATGTCCCTTTTCTTCCCAATGTTTCCTGTATAAAGGAGCATAACTGATCACTCCCATATAATTCCAGTTCTGCCATCTTCACTTTTAATATTTTCTGCAGAACCGGCGTTGCTTTATATATATATAAAAAAAGAAAAAAAGAAATTGCAACCTCTTGCAGTTTAACAAACAATTTAATCTGATTGTAATGTTTCTTTGATAAATACTGTACAAAAAGGTGATTGCAATAATAAAACATTTGATTGCGACTCCCACTTTCTAGTCTTCCAAACTTCATCCACCAGTGACCAGGGGATCTCCTACCGTTCCTCTAGAGCTTCCTTAGAATAAAATGAAAGAAAAAAAGAGTCGTGTGTCCTTTTCCTGGAGACTTCTATACAACTTTTCCCACCCCGAATTTTTTCTGTACAAAAATAGTCCAACGTTAATAGTCCACAGTTTATCTTATAAAGTTCATTTTTTCTCTCTTTCTCTCTCTGTGTGTCTCTTACATGTGTGTTAAGGGCAGCGTGCCGTTGATCGTCGTCCCGGGCACGGTGCTCTGGTAGTGGCCGGACATGTGTAGCCTGGTCTGGGCGTTCTGCTCGCTGACATCCGCCCCGGGCAGGTACATGCTGATCATGTCCCTCAGATCCCCGCTTTGGCAGCCCGGGCCGGCCCGGTGGGACGACGAAGTGACGACGGGAGGGCTGGAGCTGCTGGACTCGGACTTCACCACCGAAGAGGGCCCCATGGAGCCCAGGGCGGTCATCCCAGGCGTGCTTTGCTGGGAATAGGACATGGAGTATGTCGGGGAGCCGTTCATGTAGCCCTGGGAGCCTGTCATGCTGTTGTACTGCAGCGCACTCATGTCGTAGCGGTGCATGGACTGCATCTGGCTCGGGTTGTGCGCGTTCAGCCCCGGGTGCTGGTAGCTCAGCTGGTCCTGCATCATGCCGTAGCCCCCGTTGGTCCAGCCGTTCATGTGTGCTGCGTAGCTGTCCATCCGCTGGTTCACCCCACCGCCTAGCCCGCCCCCCACACCGACCCCAGATCCCATCCCGTTTCCTCCCGGAGCCAGCAGCCCACCGGGCAAGGTGTACTTGTCCTTCTTCATGAGGGTCTTGGTTTTCCGCCGGGGCCGGTATTTGTAATCCGGATGCTCCTTCATGTGCAGGGCCCTCAGCCTCTTGGCTTCGTCGATGAAAGGTCTCTTCTCGCTCTCGGACAGAAGTTTCCACTCGGCGCCCAGCCTCTTGCTTATCTCCGAGTTGTGCATTTTGGGGTTTTCTTGCGCCATCTTCCTCCTCTGGCCCCTGGACCACACCATGAACGCGTTCATGGGTCTCTTGACCCGCTCCGGACTGTTTTTCTGGTTGGGTCCGTTTCCGGACGTGTTGTTGCCCGGGCCCCCCGTGTTGGTTTGGGGAGCAGGGGGCTTCAGTTCAGTCTCCATCATGTTATACATCAGGAACAGCTTTTAGTTGGACCTCCCGAGAGGGGGGAGCGTTTAAAAATAAAAACACACAGAGACAAACTCCACAAGCCAGAGGCAGGGCAGTGGGGAGCGCAGTGCTGCTGCTGCTAAAAGTTACCTGTCGATTTTGCTCTGCAACTTTTTCTCTGGAAAAAAAACAACAAGCCGCGTCTCATCTACACTCTCTTCTCCTCTCGGTGAGTGTGGCCGAGTGTGTGTGGGAAAGAGCCTTCTCCCAATAGGTCCCGGCTATGTTGTGTCCACAAAACTTCTCCTGTCGCCTCTCCGAGAAAGCATCAACAAACTGTACTTTTCGCCTGTGTCCGCCTGAGCCTTGTCAACTCCAGATAGTTTTTGAACAAGTTAATAGACAACCATTCATGTGACGGGGCTGTCAGAGAATAAATGGCTTCGACCTGGCCAATCAGAGCGGGCCTGCTCCCCTGACACACCAATGGGAGGCATTAATTAGCATAAATGGGCGGGGCTGCTCTGCCCCGAGACACACGCACACTCAGGCTGCCCATATGAGCCAATATAAAGTATTTACTATTTCCAGGCTTATGGAGATATTTCTATGGAAATATATGCACACTGGCAGTTATATTAATACGGAGAAAGAGGAAGCTGGAACACATATTTCTGGCAGTTTAGAAAAATCGTTTTGCAAACATTTACAAGTAAAATACAACTTTCCTAATAAACACAAAACATATGTCAAAAGATATAAAGCAAAAAATTAATGTTTTCGGTTGTTTTCTTATTAACATTTGCAGCATCCACATCTAATCTAAAGTGCAAAGGGTCATTTGTAATACAGTGTGAACAAAAGAAATAAAAATTGTTAAATAAATTAATCAAATGTTGACATTAATGGTGTCAGTATCATCTTATCTTGAACAGCATTGTTCTGACATTAAGTCCTGGCCCGTGACACTTCTGTTGTTCAGAATCAAAAAGTCACTAATGCCCCCACTTACCGGCCCAATAACATAACAACACTTAAATAAACTTTGTTAAATCGTTGAATAGCACTGGTGCGTGTATGTGTGTGTGTGTGTGTGTGTGTGTGTGTGTGTGTGTGTGTGTGTGTGTGTGTGTGTGTGTGTGTGTGTGTGTGTGTGTGAGAGAGAGGGGGGGGGTGTGTCGGGAAGCCACGGCTGGTTTTTATAGCGTTGAAAAGACGGAAAGGTAATCCAGGGTTTTTAGCGTTGAAAAGAGGAAAGGTAATCCAAGATGTTTCCCCCAGCCCTTTGTTTAGTGAAGTTGAATGCCAACACACAGAAGGCAGACGGGCTCATCTCAGCACAAATAAGCGGTTTTTGTTTGGGATGTTGTCGCTACATCTGTCCGGACAAAGACCCAACTCCACTCCACTTCCACTGCCACAGTGCTGCTGTTGTTGTTGGGGATTTGTAGTGGGGGGGGGACGTACCGGGGACACGAGGGGAGGAGAAATAAAGGTGAGGAATATTTTAAGATAAAGTGTCTTTGCACAAAAGGCACAGCTCATTCATATCAGCCTGAACAAGCGTGTCAGCCAATTAGTGTGAAAAGCGGCCTCCACCTGCTTCACTTTATTCCAGATCAAACCGAACACACTGCGATTACTATGACAGAAAACCAATATCTTCGTGTTTAAAGCGAAATTATTCACTCATATAGTTTTAATATCCAATAACGACTAAAGTTATGTTTTACGGTTGTAAGTATGGGTGCCACTTGTTTTGCTTCTGCTGAATCTCCATCCTAAAGACAAGACTGTGGGACACTAGTGCCGCCTACTGGACAGAGAGGGAACTGCAAGCAACTGCAAATGCTCAGACAGGCTTCTCCTCACAGCAAAAGGGAAGCTTGTTTTTAGAGTTCGGTTAATTTTTTATAGTAAATGGCATGCATTTTTATTTTAACATGTAGGCTATCTATTATTATCCAGCAACAATTGAAAATATCAGACATGCACAAGGTGTATTCAGTCACAACACAGCCTGTCTGCAAATCAGACAACCCCAATAATTAAAGGTAGATCAAGTACATACACCTGAAATAATTTAATTTAAATGCGTGTCTCTAGATTAAATCATAATTGAAAGTGAATGGATCAAGCCTTATTATTTTTGTTTTAGTCATTTGATAATAAATGGAGGAGCGGAGCCCCCGTGCTCTCATTATGCCGGCCCCGGCCACCTTACATAAGATTCATCTTGTGCTTAATAGGCTGCGAGAGGCGACACATGCAGCTCGGTCCATTATAATGCAAGGTTGAAATGGGGCGCTCGGCTGCTATCTGCATCTGAGTGTGTTCCCCGCTACCTCTAATCTGCTTATGATAATAAAGGAACAGCGGGGCCCTGCAGCTCTCTGAAAGCAGGCCCCATCCAGCCGGGAATGGCCCTGCATCCACAATCATCCTGAATTAAAGCCGTTGTTAGACAAAAAAACTGTAGAAACTAACAGGGCGGCTCCCTCGGACCACTTGTAAGCCCCCCGCGATACACCATGGTTGGGATGGATACAGCAAATACAGCGTTCACCCCACGCTGTGATATCAAAATACTGTTTAGTGGTTTCACCAATTTAGATGATTTTAGGATCACTGCAAAAACAAGCAAAAAAAAAAGAGCACAAATATAACTGGAAAATATTCTAACAACTGCGCAAAGAGGACGTCAACTCATACAAAGGTATGGCATAATGCTACTTTTGGAACTAATAAAATGCAAATACAAGCTTACACGTGACAAAAAATAAATAAATAAAAAGTAGTTATTATGTTGAAGATTTGAATATATTTGAATTATTATTGTAGGCCTATATATGGCAATGAGAGGTACAGATTTCAGGTGAAATGGAAATACACTTGTCTCTTCTTTCCACTAGGGGCCGTAACAGGGGCTGGGGATGCAGCCGAGAAAATACTTCATGAAATCATTAATAAATCCTGCTCGGAGATAATTGTGGAAAATATAAATAACGTAGAGCTTGTTTTCCTTTTATTTTTAGATACACATAGGAATACAATTGTTTTCCATTTTGAAGACACAAGTTTATTGCTCAAGTTATGGTTTATCTCATCATTTTACTATTTTTTGCAAATAGATTTGGACATGATATATTTATGATATTTAAGTCGATGACAAACTTAAAATAGTTAGCATTTTACACAGTATTTGTCGGGTTGCAACTTTGACAACATTTCGTTTAAGGCCATATGCAATTAAAATATAAAGCAAGAAAATAAAAATATTAATAATATAAATAAAATGTTAAGAGAAAAATAAAAAACATTTGTAATCTCCTAATAAAAGGTCACCGATTTTAGAAATAACAATCCAAAGTTTTCTGTATAATTTGTAATTAAACCAGCGTTTGTTTGCCGTTGTATATAATACATATTCAAAGGGGAAAACATAACCATAATTATTATTCAAATACGTCAAGGAAATAAATAAAATGTGATATCCATATTTATTCTGTCTGCACAGATGATCTATGTGCATGTTGAGTAAAGCAAAGCGGCCAACAACTCAGACAGTCAGTGAAGCTCATGATGCCATGCGGTGTCATTCCACAACACTGCATGGTTTACACACACCCCGACTCAAACACACACTGAGATACACACCGACAGCGACACGCACACAAACACACGCACACACAAACGGCTTCTCCTCTCCACTGCACTCCAACTTACTGCCAGTTTGGGAGTTGTCCTCCTCTCGTCTTGATTGGCAGAAATTAAATAAGATGCCGTTCCTCTCAACCTTCTCCAGCGCACATCCCCCGGCGAGGAAGCATCCGCGTGCCCGGCACAGAGCTCCCAACGCCGGCCTGCGAAATCTCAAAACGGCGCCCTCCGCAAGTTCCCCCATCCCCGGTAGTCCGCGCTGTTTCTATCCGGCAGCCGGCTCGCTCTGTCCGCGGTGTAGCCCCGCTGTCTGTCTGGAGCTGCGCTGTCTTCTTTCCGCGAGCCCTGCAACAAGAAAAGCCGTTTATGGCGACACACAATGTGAAAAGGGGGCCGATTTAAAAAGGAGAAGAATGCAAGCAAGAACAACAAAAGTCAGTTATAGCAAAGTCTATGCCTCTCCTCTCCTATCTTCCACCCCCTAGCTTAGCCCACATAATGAGCAGGAAAAAGCTTTATATTTTGTTCACTGGGTATTCACAGATAATTTGAAGCCATTGTTTCTGCCACAGATGGTTCTTTTAATACAATAACGGTGCTCTTTGTGAATAGCAAGCCCACAATAAAAATCTAAAGCGTCCTCCTGAATAACCATTTTGTTCTCTCTTGTATGGGCCGAACAAAAGCTCCAGTGAGGTAATGGCCTGCCTTATTGAAAGCCTCAGAATGGGGATTTGATAAAGATTTTTTTCGCTTCTTTTTTCCTTTTGCACAAAGTACATGGCAATGTCAAAGAGAAACTGACACGGCATGAAAAGAAAAAATCTCGAAAAAGTGCATGCTGTTGAAGCTTGAAACGATTATTATTATTATTGTCATTATGAAGCTATAATTATTATTCTGCTATTGTTTACATTTCTTAACTTTGTGCAAAAAGTCAGAGGTGAGGGGTTGTTTTCGGGGTGCTGCAGCAGAGCAGGTCAGGTGCAGGCGTGTTATGGATTTTACAATGGAGCTTAAATCCAGAATACATTAGCCTCCAAAGGTCTGCTGTGGATTTGGCACAGCCTCATAATTTTTGCATAGGATGAGTCAAGTTGTGCTTGATAGAATTAAGCATTCAGGGCGCATACCCCTGGTGTCTTGCAGAAAACTCCTGTTCCTAATTCTACCCTTTTCACTATAATGGCCCAGAAAATATTGCATGCCCTTAAAGCGTTGATAAGGCACTGTGAAATGTCATAAATGCATGGTTGTTAATAAGGAGGGAAAGCAGGTAGCCTAATGTAACCCGCTAAGGTGGAGATGCACGCCTGCAGGTGTGTGTAGTCAACATGTCATAGCTCCCTCCACCAGGATGGATCCTGCAGCCGCGTACAGGCCACCTCGATGCCCACGGTTGATGTCATTTGTAATTAACTCATGGCTAATCAATAAAGCGTTTAACAGAAAGCACAATGGACTCACAGGGGATGATCCCAAGCCAAACATATTGGATGTCACTGATCGTTATAAGGTGAGGACACCCTGTCTATCAAAGGGGTGGAGGGAGGTTGTGGGGGATGCAGCAGGAGGAGATAGGGGCACTAGATGAGGGAATGAGGGGTGAGGAGGAGAGAGGAATGAGTGGAGGGAAAGGAGAGGGGATACAAGGGGGGGATAATGGAGGACAGAAGAGGTGAGAAGTGTGTAAAGAATCCCATTTCAAAACATTGATATACACACACAACCAGTTTTCTTCTACACACACACTAGCC